GGGGGGGGGGGGTGGTTGGAGAGGAGGTGGAGCATTGAGTGGGCTCCTGGAAATTGTTTTTTTTTTCCGAGTTATAAAATTCTAAGGGCCCGTTTGGCCATAAAAAAGTTTATTTTTTTTTGAATTTTTTTTTCGAAATCACTGTTTGCCCATGAATTTTCGATTTTCACATGAATATAAATTTCGAAATTTTTCGAAAAATTGAAAAATTTCAAAAAGCTAATTTTCAAAATTTTCACTTCAGATCACTCACAACAATTCAAAAACAGCCCAAAATTATATTCATATCCAAACAGAACTCTAATATTTAAATACCATTTTCATTTGAAAAAGAATCTCACCTTTGTCCGAAATTTTACAAATTTTATGTCCAAACTCCCACTAAACAATGAAGCGCTGGCCATACTCTTTCTCTGTTTGTTGGCTATATTCGAATTATTTTGAATATTTTATTTCATATAGAGTATATCAATTATTAGATATATATGAGAAACTAATGGCAAAATTATATCCACACTAGTGAATGATTATTACTAAGAGTCATCGACGGAGAAACAAAAGAAATTGGAATCAATGATTCTCTTCCTTTAGGATAGAAGGAATTTTAAGTAGAAATATTCTTGTTATTGCTATGACTCATAATTCCTCAAAAAAGTGGATTAGATCTAAATAAATTAAATATGTGCGTTAAGATATGAATGCTTCTTATTCCACAACAATAAAAGTACCTTTTCACTCTTTTATATACTAGGTAATTTCACTTAAAAAAAAATATATTCCATGCTAATGGATTCATGTACATAATCATGGGTTCCGAAAACGTTAATAGACAAAATATGCCTATAAGTAGTCGGAGTAATATTTTGAACATGAAACACTATAGTAAGAAACTCATTAATATTTTAATACTGTAAGGTAATAAAGACTCCTTTTTTCTTTGAGCCGTGAGTCTATCAAAAACAACTTCTACGTACTAATCAAGATAAGATTAGTACTTTGTGGCAGTGGCAGAACCAAAGATATCTTAGCATTTATTAACAAAATCAAAAACTGGAAACTCCAAAATGACCAAAGAGACAACACTATCAGCCTTAACTTAGGGCTTGAGCCAATAAACCCTAAACCCAATTTTCATTTTCTCCTGACCTAGCCCTAAGTTCAACAAAAAATTTAGGCCCAGCCCATTGTCAAAGACTGATTTGGGCTCTTTAATCCATGCAAATTCAAAGCGTAATGGAATTCTCTTATCAGTTCCCTAATCTTCTGGTTCCCGAATTTTGCTGTCAACAAGGTTTGAGTGAGCGTGAGTGTCACGTGCGCTTCCTCCACAGACTCCCAAAAGTCAATTGGAGGGAAACTCATCTAGCCGTCCATTCAACATTCAATGGACAAGATTTTCCTCAGTTAAATCTACTCAAATATATATGCCTAAAAAGAAAAAGAAAAAGAAAAATGCAAATACAAAAACCACAAAACTGTGGGAAGAAAGAAAAAGGGGTGAGAGTGGCAAAAAGAGAGAAAGATATCACTCTAGAGAATAAACTGCGCCTGTTCTGAGAAAAATTCAAGAATCCCATTTCATATTAGGGGGAAAAGATAAGATCTTTGGCTGTTTATTGGAATTGTCTTAGGAAAATCATTGAATCTTTCATCAAAAAACTCATTTTTTTTTCAGTTTTGGGAGTTCTCTGCTGCAAAAGAAGAAGGGAGAAGAAGAAAGCTTATATCTTTGTAATGTTTACTATTTTTTGTTTGTTTCAAATCTTTGTGTTTTTCAGTTCTTGCATGAGATTTTGCTTAATGGGTTTGCATTAATTTATATGCAGGGTTTTTTGAAAGAATCTGGTACAGTATCTAAGCATAGATCTTGAGGTCAGTCTCTTTGTTTGTTTAGTTTCTCTTCAATTTCTGGTCAATGAGTTTATATATGGTCTTATTTTTAATTTTTTAGGTGTTACAGATAGAACAAAAAGGTATGGATAAGTTACAGTGGGGAAACAGAAAAAGACTAAGGTGTTTCAAGGTGAAAGATTCAACTTCAAATGGGAAATCTGATGGTGGTATTGTAGTGAAGAAGAAAATCACATCTCGAGTTGTTGATAATACCAAGGAATCTACTCTTCTTCCTCCTATTTCTTCTCCTCATCGTCTTAACAGGTAATTAATTAGAAAAAAGATAATTAAAGGAAAGAATTTTGTTTGTTTTGGCTGTTGATGTATGTGTGCTGGAAATAGTGTCAGTGTTTTGATTCAGAACTATGCCTCATTTGAGTTAAAGATTTGATTCTTATTTCAGATTATGAGTACTTTTTGGTTTCTTAGATGCTCTTGGTAGAGATTTCATTGAATCTGCCTAAGTTTATGTCCCGATTTTGATGCAAAGAATCATTCTTTGATTGAGTAAGGGTTTGAATAGGTCAATTGTATGAGAAGTAATTAGTTTTTTTTTTGACATACCTATGGAAATACACCTCGGGTAGCCGCGTAAGATATGCGTACACACTACCCTTCCCAAACCCCACTTGTTGGATTTTACTGGATCGTTTTTGTTGTTGTTATGCTGGTTGTTATGCGAGGAGTGATCACAATTTGATGCCTTACCTGTAAATTAGAAGGAAAAGAAGTTCAAAGTTATAGTCTTTAGGTTTGGTTGGGAGTTGGTTTGTGAACTCATTAGATCTGAAGCTAGAAAAGCATCAGTGATTTGTGAGCTAGTAATGATACTTGAGAACAAATCAAATTTGTTTCTGGTGAAGCTATTACAATACTTAAATCATGGATTGCTATTGTTATTGTGATTTTTTGAAGATTCTCATCTCTTAAACAGAAAAATACTTGGATTTGGTTACCTCAAAAGTAAAAGATTGTACTACAATTTGGTGGTTACTTGTTATTGCAGAGATCTAGGTGTGAATAGATCCAACACAAATGAGCATCGTAAGACATCGGTGTCATCCCCCGAGAAGGAGGACCGATATTATACGACGAGAGGGTCGGTAGGTGTGGATGATACTAGCAAGTTGTTCATTGATTCAAGGGAGGAAAAGAAAAAGATGGTATGGCCAAAATTGCTTATCACATTGTCAAGTAAAGAAAAAGAAGAAGATTTTATGGCCATGAAAGGTTGCAAACTTCCTCAAAGGCCTAAGAAGAGGGCCAAGTTGATACAAAGAACTGTACTTGTAAGTCCCTCGATGCTCCGAATTCAGATATATGATCCAAGAATTAGACTTTTATCATTTAGGTGGGATTTTACTGGGTGGTTGTTGTTGATTCTTTCCATGGTAAATCTAGTCTGAAAATAGCTACTTTGTCTTTGTTTTGTGCTGCAGTTAGTGCAACCAGGGACATGGTTGCAGGACTTGTGCCAAGAAAGGTATGAAGTCAGGGNGCGCGCTCTCTCTACTCTTCTTCACTGAGAAATTTGTATCTTAATAACATATAATGATGTATTTTTTGTGCAGTAACCTTCCCCCGCGTGATCTCTACTCTTCTTCACTGAGAAATTTGTATCTTAATAACATATTTTGATGTATTTTTGGTGCAGAAACCAAGAGGATTAAAAGCTATGGGAAGCATGGAAAGTGATTCAGAATAAAATCTGGTGAAGATAAGAGTGAGGAAACCAAGGACAGAGCCAGATAGATTTTTGGGAATTCTTTTGGAAATAGTTGCAGTTGAAGATGGGCAAAAGATAGAAACTTTTGATTTTATTTTGGTGGCAGAGAGAGAAGATGAGGAAAGAAAATCTGAAAATGATGTAATTTTTGGCATATTATTCCTAATTTAGCTCATCTTGAAAAATGAATGCTTCTTTTCTTGGCTTTCTTTATCTTTATGCGTACACTTGTATGTGTGCTGTTCTATGATGCTTTTCCTTTTTTTTTTCTGCTCATGTTTTCCTCTATGTGCCCTTCCTATTTCTTTCCTTTCACGAGTCTTTCTTAATATCTTTTAGATTTCAATATGAGCACTTCTAAATTTTTAAAGGCTTTGGTATTTATGTCAAAAATTGCTTTCCCTATGACAACTTAACTAGTGTAGTTCTTAAATATTACTCCCTCCGTCCCAATCTATGCAGACTTGTTTGACTGGGCAAAGAGTTTTAAAAAAAAATGAAGATTTTTTGAATTTGCGGTCTTAAACAAGTCAAAAATGAGTCTAGAGTATTTGTGTGGTTATAAAAGTTTCTTATTAACAGTAAAATTAGAAGTTTAAGTTAAATTGTTTTCAAATTTAGAAAGAGGTCTGTATACGGTCAAAATCAGGTATGTTCGATTTTGTGGGCTCGAGGAACCGCTTCGAGAATAAGTTCGAAATAGACTGGGCTCGAGCCCGATTGCGGAGTTCGAAGATCAAAGTGTCCGATGAATATTAGGGCCGAGCATAACTAGCCTCGAGATAATGCCGTTGTGGTTTTGTAACAGAAAAAGCAAGATTCTCCCAATAGCTCAGAGATCAAGGCGTAAATTTCGAAACGGATTAGTACGAATTCGTACTAGGCGGTTAGACAGCTGTCCAATTAGATTCCTTACTAAAAACAGAAATGTACCTTATTTAGGACTCCCATATTATATAAAGGGGAGCCCATTCATTTGTAACATCATCAATCATTGGCAAAAGAATATACATCCTTACATTCTTGCTCAGTATTCATCAGAATTGTCTTTTAACTTTATTGTTCTTATTTTATTATTCTCATTGACCTACCTCGAGGCCGCCTTAGCTCGAGGTCGAGATTCGCTCGTACATTAGTTTGATTCAACTTACTTCTTTAATTTATACGTTTGATTTCTTGTTATTAATTGGTATTAGATTAAATCATGTATCTTCAAGACCTCAATACAAATTTAATTATTACTCGAATTTTCGGGGTAAACAGTTTGGCGCCCTCCGTGTGGATAAAGATAATAGTGATTACTTCAGTATTGATTTTGATAACACACGATATTTTTCGCACTTGTTCTTGTCAAGAATTTTTTGCTTTCAGGTTGAAACGTGTCAAGCTCACAAAATGCACCCGTGCATGACAATGATGGTCTTGGATTTCACGATGAAAACGATAATGTAGTTGCTCCAGGAGCCGGGATACCACCTATTAACCCTAGGGAAGTACCGATTGCCAATCCGATAGATGTCTATTCACGCATTGCTTTACATGCAGACCCCGTATGGAGCCTATGTATAGAAGAGTGACCGAATGGCCAATGAACACATGATGTAGGAAACGGGGGAGTTAGTCTCCAAGTAATATTCGAGATGTTGCAGACTCAACATGCTGCCATTGCTCAGCTTCAAAGTCTACACAGAACTCCGTGTGTGGTCGAGCTGGAAATCACTCGCCGTACTGAGCCAGTACCGGAAAGGACAAATAATAGCGGATCAGGGGCTGATCCCACAGTTATGAAAATGCTCGAGGAGCTCACCAAAAGAATTGAGTCGGGAGAGAAGAAGATCGAAGATAATAACAGGAAAGTGGAGACATACAACTCCCGAGTTGATCAAATACCAGGGGCACCCCCGATCTTGAAGGGTTTGGATTCAAAATAGTTTGTACAAAAGCCTTTTCCTCAGAGTGCGGCCCCGAAGCCCATTCCCAAGAAGTTTCGCATGCCGTATATACAGAAATACAACGGGACCACCGATCCTAATGAACATATCACTACATACACATGCGGAATAAAAGGAAATGATTTAGAAGACGATGAGATCGAGTCCATTTTGCTGAAAAAAATTGCGGAAACTCTATCAAAGGGAGCAATGATTTGGTATCACAACTTTCCACCAAATTCCATTGATTCATTTACCATGTTGGCATATTCTTTTGTGAAGGCGCACGTCGGGGCCATAAAGGTTGCTACGAGAAAATTGGACGTTTTCAAAATAAGATAAGGGGATAACGAGATGCTGAGGGAGTTCGTATCCCTCTTTCAAATAGAACGCATGGAATTACCACCGGTCATGGTGATTGGGCCGTTCAAGATTTCACCCACGGGTTGAACGAGCGGAGTTCAATAGAATCACGACAGTTGAAGCAAAATTTGGTCGAGTATCCAGCTGTAACTTGGGCAGATGTGCATAATCGTTATCAATCAAAGATCAGGGTCGAGGATAACCAGCTGGGAACCCCCTCGGGTTCAGTTCATCCAAACAGATAGGCAATTATAGCCCCGAGGGACACCGATAGGGAACCAAGATCGATTAGAGAACGGTATCAGCCGTATGTCGCAGATCGAAGAAGCAATGGTTTGGGGCGCAATCCTCCTCAGAATAACCGAAGAAATGATCGAGGGCAAAGTTCTCGGGGACTTATGAGTAAGAATAGTTTTGATAAACATACCGATCCTGCAGAAGTGCCTTGGTTATTGGAGTATAATTTCAGTGTCGATGCATCGGGGATTGTGTCGGCTATCGGAAGGATCAAAGACACTAGGTGTCCCAGACCTATACAGACCGATCCTTCTCAAAGAAACCCAAATTTGATGTGTAAAAATCATAGTACACGTGGCCATAAGACCGAAGATTGCAGGCAGGCGAGGGAGGAGGTAGCTCGATTGTTCAACGAGGGCCACCTCCGAGAGTTCCTCAATGATCGAGCTTAGAATCACTTCAGAGAAAGAGACGCCAATAGAAAGAATGAGCAGGAAGAAGTGCAACATGTAATTCATATGATCGTTGGCGAGGCCGATGTTCCGCAAAGGCCTATATTCAAACGTACCAAAGTGTCGATCATCAGAGAAAAGCGGACTCGGAGTTATGTGCTAGAAGGAATCCTATCATTCGACGATGAAGAAGCGGAGGGCATTTCTTAGCCGCACAACGAGGCCCGGGTAATTTCTATTTTGTTAAATGAAATTCAGGTTAAACATGTTCTAGTGGATCTAGGTAGCTCAGCAAACATAATCAGATTGAGGGTCGTAGAGCAGCTCGGCCTGTAGGACCAAATTGTACATGCATCTCGAGTCCTAAACGACTTCAACATGGTAAGTGAAACAACGAAGGGGGAGATAATCCTACCAGTAAACGTGGCCGGTACCATCCAAAATACAAAAGTCCATGTCATTGTAGGTGACACGAGATGTAATGCATTACTCGGGAGGCCATGGATCCACAACATGAGGGTAGTGTCGTCCCTTCATCAGATGATGAAATTCCCAATATTGGATGGTGTAAAAATAGTTTACAAGGAACAACACACTGCAAAGGAAATGTTTGCAGCCGATGAGGTGACACCGATACCAGCGCATTCAACCTCGGAAAAATCGAGCATCAAAGATAAGCAGACGACCAAATAGCAATAACCATCCCCAGCCTCGACCGAATCGAAGAAGAAGAAGAAGAAGAAGAAGAAGAAGAAGAAGAAGAAGAAGAAGAAGAAGAAGAAGAAGAAGAAGAAGAGGATTTTCTTACTCCTCGAACTTTCGTTGTTTCCGAAGAGTCAGATGCAACCAAGTCAACGGTCGAAGAGTTGGAACAGGTCATACTGATCGAGTATATGCCCGAGAGAAAGGTATACCTGGGAACAGGGTTAACCCCCAAACTCAGGATAAAACTCATCCAATTTCTTATTTATAACATATGTTATTTTGCTTGGTCCCATTTAGACATGACAGGGATCCCATCGGAAATAATAACACACCGACTGAGCCTCGACCCAAGGTTCAAACTGGTGAAGCAAAAGAGGAGGCCTCAATCTGAGGTGAAACATGCATTCATAATTGATGAGGTAACCAAACTTCTTAAAATAGGGTCTATTAGGGAGATAAAATATCCCGAATGGTTAGCCAATGTAGTTGTAGTCCCTAAAAGGGGGAACAAACTTAGAATGCATGTAGATTACAAGGATTTGAACAAAGCATGCCCTAAAGATTCTTTTCCACTGCCTAACATCGATCGCATGATCAATGCCACGGCTGGCCACGAGATCCATTCCTTTATCGATGCCTATTCTGAGTACAATCAAATTCAGATGAACCCGGAAGACTAGGAGAAGACCTTGTTTATCACCAAGCGTGGAACTTATTGTTACAATGTAATGCCTTTCGGGCTAAAAAATACAAGAGCTATATACCAACGCCTAGTTAAAAAAATGTTTGAGGAGCAGATAGGTAAATCAATTGAAGTTTACATTGACGATATGTTAGCTAAGTATCTATGCGCAGAGGACCATTTGATTCATTTGTAGGAAACATTCGAAATCTTGAGGAAGTACAACATGAAACTCAACCCCAAAAAATGTGCCTTTGGGGTTGGCTCGGGAAAATTCCTTGGCTTCATGGTATCAAATTGGGGAATCGAAATCAACCCTAATAAGATTAAGGTCATCGAAGATATTACCATTGTAGACAGTGTGAAAGTTGTACAAAGGCTGACTGGATGGATAACTGCCTTGGGCCGATTTATTTCATGGTCATCAGAT